GTTCAGAAATATTTACACCAACTGGAGTACATTCAGCCAAATTTCCACCAAAAAACAGCCAAAACACAAGAATAAACAAATATATCCTTATTTCTTTCAAAGCATTAACATTCCACACAGATTATAAAACCACCAGCAGTGAAAAAATATTTGTTTTTCACTCACATTTGATGCATATTTGTCCTAAAATATGACGAAATTAGCGACTCAAAATGGTGACTGGAAGTGTTTTTATCCTAACATTATCCTGGCCACGAAAATCACTCTTCCATGTCTTGAAGCACTCAAAACACTTCATAACAAATATATTTTCATCTTATCAGCAGGTTTAGTCAGCTAACTGGCCAAAGAACGATGGAAAAAAAACGTTCTCCTGTGAGCGTAGCTTCCTTGATTAGCGTAGCAGGACTGTCTAAATATGGCGACCTACAGAGTGTTTACCTTGTCCCATCACTAAACAAAGTTCCCACCCCCTCAATATTTACACCCAGAGCCCTATATAGAGAGAGTTGCAACACTCCCATAGACTTCTATAGAAAGAATGGAATGCGGAAATCACGTGGTTCATGGAGCCATAAATAGTTCCAAACACAGCGAGAGGCTCCATTCAGTGCAGTTCATTTTCAGTGTTTCCGAAGTTTTTTTCTGCCGGTAAGTTTTGAATATTCAAAAATTTTTGCTATTGTGAAGCATTAGCTGAATGTTCTGGACCAAAGTATGTCAACAGTGATATTTCATTTAGCCAGTTTAGTTAACCTCTTAAGCCCCAAGGGGTTTTCTTGAAGTTTGTGCTTGAAAAAGCATGCCCAAACGTAACTGGGTGTATCTCAGCACCTAAAATCACCAWATAAATACCCTTGGAATCAAAATAAAGCTAACACTTGGGAGATTCCATCAGAAGTGTAAGTATCACATCAAATGCTTTTGTTTCAGAGATACTGAGGATGGAACATAGAAAAAAATAGCTTTTTTTCCCTCGCCTGAGGTTTTTTTACATTATACAGTATATACCCTTTTCAAAAGTATGAATAAGGCTAAAAACTCTTGGAAACCATGAGTCCACTTATGAACATTACCCGTGCAAAACCTCATGCTGCTTAAGTAAAATACAACAAAGTTGCAGAGGTTTTAGTAAAAAAAAATATTTAGGCGTTTTTTTCTTTGGCACAGATTGGCAGAAATTGACACATTTTGGCACCAACTACAAAAGTAGAGTTTTTAAAAGTTTTTAGTTACAAAACTTACAAAACTTGATATACAGTATAAGTAAGCTAACTAGCAAAAACGGCACATTTTATATTTTATTTTTTAAACAACACGTAGACACAACCGGAAGTGCGGTGTGTGACGCTGCGCTTTATATAAAATGTGTTTTTAGCTCGGAGGATCAGCTAGCCTTACGCAGGACTATAACTTCAGTTTGGATTGGCCGAATTGCACAAATCACCCCTCCTTTTCATTCTTGGAACCAGCAGAATCAAGCTATCTACAGCACATTCATGTAAACCTGACCAATTGCCTGCTATAAGGAGAGGAAATCTATGATGCAGTTTGAAAAACTTTGATCTTCGTCCAATGAAAGTCTTGTAATTGGGTCAGTTGGGGCGATTTTGGAGGAGGAACTGCTTGAAACTCATACTGGGGAATATAGTTGCTCTGTAAATACAAGTTTATGCCAGTGGATTTAGGATTTGGAGGAAAAAAATCAAAAGTGAGAAAACTTGTGTTTTATAATTTTCAAATCTGAGTGCTAGGTCTTCTCTCTTTTTGCTGCTAGTTGAGTGAATTCTGGTTGGATTGTGATGAAACTTATATTTTTAGAATCTGTGAGGTCTCTGCTTTCAGCAGACATGTTTTTGTGTGAAGAAGTCACTGGTGAACAGCTGAGAACAGGTTTTGCCGAGACACAATTTTGTGCAGTTTATTTACATACAGATTCAACTGCTTCTTGTTTTATCTGTGTCTGGTGGACGTAGAAATGGTTTCTATG